CACAGTGATATATGTGCACCCATGTTCATTGCAGCACAGTTTGTAATAGCTAAAGCTTGGAAACCGCCCAATTGCCCATCGACTGGAAATTGGATAAAGAAAATGTGGGTTTTTTATAAAATGGAGTACTACTCAGCCATAAAGAATGAGAAAGTAGCTATATTTACAGCTAAATTGATGCACATGGAGGCCATACTCTTAAGTTTAATAAATAAGACACACATGTGTAAATACTGAATAGTTTCACTAGTGTGAGAAACTGATAGTGTAAACAAGGGTTAAAATGATTAAAATGAATAATTGATAATTTGAAATAGGAAAAAAGGTCAAAAGATGAAGGGGTGAAGGGAGGGGAAGGGGAAAGGAAAAGAGGGAAAGGAAAAACTATGAGAAAAGAAAAAAATGGAAAGGAAGTCTATGTAAATAGGGAAGGGTGGAGGGGGTGAAAGGCGCACAGGTAATGGGGAAAAATAAGAACCAAGATACACCATGTACAGGTACAAGCACCCAATGATAAATGTAAACGTATTGTATACCTAAAATGTACCAATGAAAGAACTTAAAAAAAAATTGTCAATGCATATATTTACTACATTTTATTTTTTCGTTTTAAGTATATTTTTACTAGTGCCTATTGATTTTACAAAATATTGGGTTCTAATTTGATATTTTCATACATATATATAATATATTTTGATCATTTTAGCCTAGTACTTTTAGACCAAAGCGCTATCAAGTTGTTTCTTGGAGATTTACTTCTCTATTTCTGGGATTGGTTTTTAGTTAGCAATATTAATCACCATAGCCCTAACATGTATGTTGATGAAATTCACCTCTTGGATTCACCTCTACTTGGTAACAATTTTTGCCAGCCTCTTTTCCCCTAACATATTCTATTTAAACCACCTTCCCTCTGAATGTTTTGTAGCGCAGACTGTTTCTTATTTCGTCTAGACTATGTTTGTTTTCCTCATTTCTCTAGAGGTGCATCGATAGGGTGCCTAACAACAATCACAGGTTTGCAGAGAGCATAGCCATACTAAGGGGTCAGTGTGACAGTTACCCATGAGCTCGTGCCTGGAGGTGGGGACACTTTTATATTTATTTGCTCAGGGCTGGATGTAGTAAAGCAAAATGAAAAGTAATTGTTTTATTGGCTATAGGGCAGACAACAACTAGTGAGCTGCAAAAGAATATGAAAGGTGACAAGAAGCTAGGCATGGTGGCTCAAGCCTACAATCCCAGCAGGAAGATCACAAGTTTGAGCCCAGCCTGGACAACTGAGTAACTCAGTGATACACTGCATCCAAAATAAAAGCTACACGTGGCTGAGGATGTAGCTCAATGGAAGGAAGAGAGAGAGGGAAGGAAGGAGTGATATTAATTTTAAGAGTAGGAAGACTAGTAGAGACCAAATATATGAAAACCAACATTATACATATATTTTGTACATTACTGGTGTTGCACCCAGTGAGAAAGAACCAACCAGAGACCAATATTAAATCCACACAGGAGTTTATTACCAGCCGGGACCCGGGCGGAGCATCAGACTCGAGCCCCGACTGGGGGGAGACAAACATGTTTTATACATCTTTGAGGCCAACAGTTTCTAGGCCCTCCTATGGGATAGAACTAGCAAAGCAAGGAAAAGGTACAGAAGCAGAACGTCCTGCCGTAAGAACATTTGTAAAACAATAGTTGATTAATTGTTGTTTCTAAGAGACTCTCTAAGGGGAGGAGGTTTCTAAGCTTCCTCCTTCTGAGTTCATCTAAAGGGCAGGCAGGTGGGTCAAGCAGCAATATGGAGTCTGTCTTGCTAACTAGGGTCTTTCAACTGGCACATCCAATAAGCCGAATTTGTGCAGTAATCAAAGTATAATTTTCATTTTGTGTCCTTTTAACACTTATGTAGTACTGGTGGCTGGTGGGAAGCCCTTCCCTGTCAGAGCCCCCTGTAGTGGGTTCCAATCTCCTGCTCAGTGGTATGGCGCAAGGTTTAAAGAAAAACTTGCCCTGGGGATGTAACTCAGTGGCACCACACCTGCCTGGCAACCACAAGGTCCTGAGTTCAATCCCCTGTACCACAAAAAGAAAAAGGAAAGAAGAAAAACTCAAAAACAAAATTAAAGACACAGAGAAATGAGAAGCCAGGACAACAGTGCTGAGCAACCAGCAAAGCCCCTAGCCAGTGCAAACCACTGCTATTTATCGAGGACATGATGGCCAGATTCAGGTAAAAGGGGTATGTGAGGGGTAATGCAGTTGCTATGGACACATAATTAATGCAGGCAAGGCTTGTAAAGGAAGAGACAAAGTGTTCTTGAATTACGAACAGAACAGACAAAATATAGGATTGTATTTAGCAAATAACCCTGTCCTTCTAGTTAAGATGGTTTTAATTGTGGGAATGGAATTTGGGTAAGAGTCACTCTGACCTCAGCACTGCACATATGCTTCTACCAGACCCGACTGTCAAAACCAGCCAATTGTGGGGTTAATTCTTTAAAGCCTGCATTGAGCATAATCAATAAGGCAGTCCCCCACACTTTCCCTCCTTCTCCCAGGGACATTTGGTAGGTCACATAACTTTTCTTTCTGTTCATTCTCAGATAAAAACATCTTACAGCCACATTAAATTAAACACAAAGCCAATCTGTTCACTAGAATTCACAGTCCCAAACAGTTAGCAAATCTCAGAACTTGTTTTGTGTTGAACCTTCTTTGAAGTTGTGGACTAGCAGATTGATGTAGAAGGAAGTCAGCTTCATGCTTTGCATGTTCATGTCTCCCTAGCTGACTAACAAGGCTTTGTTCCTCCAGGGTTGGCCCCAGAGCGGGTTGGTGAGGAGGATAGAGTATATCTGGTATGAGAAAGATTTTTGCCTTCTATACCAGGCGCTATGGGTGGCAGCTATTTAAAGCGAACTCATCTTTAAATAGGCTCCTTGTTGATTATGGCCTCTGTAGTTCATAGGAATCTGAGTTAGCCTTCAGCTTCCTTCCCACTGAGACCTCATTACCTGAAACTGTTTGTCTAGTTATAAAATGAGACTAATATTTGCCCTACTCTACAACATGGTTGTAAAAATAAAGACCATGTGAAAGAGCTTTGGAAACATCATGAGAATAAGAATAACCTAATATTAGTAGTCCTATTTGACCCAGCTATTCCCCTGTTGGGTATCTTCTCAAAAGAATCGTACCACAGCAACATATACACACCCCTGTTTATAGCAGCACAGTTTGTAATAGCTAAAGCTTGGAAACAGCCCAAGTGCCCATCAACTGAAAACTGGATAAAGAAGATGTGGGGTTTTTTTTATGAAATTGAATACTACTAAGCCATAAAGAACAAGAAACTAGAGACATTTATAGCTAAATGGATTCATATTGAGGCCATACTCTTAAGTGAAATAAATAGGACACACGTGTACATACTGAATAGTTTCTCTAGTGTGAGAAACTGAAAGTGTAAATAAGGATTAAAATGATTAAAATGAATAATTGATAATTTGAAATAGGAAGAAAAGGTCCAAAGGGGTAGGAGAAGTGGGAAGGGAAGAGGAAAGGAAAGAAGGAAAAGGAAAAAATGAAAACAAAGTCTTTGTAAATAGGGAAGGGTGGAAGGGGTGAAGGGAGCACAGGGAATGGGGAAAAAATAAGAACAAAGATACATCATGTACAGGTACAAGCACCCAATCATAAATGTAAACGTTTTTTATACCTTAAATGTACCAATAAAAGAATTTAAGCAAAAAAAAAGAATAACCTAACATTTTGACTCATGTTTTCAGAATCCACAAGGTTAAATAAATGAAGAATTGGATGGTAACACAATTGGCCCAACTGGAGGACAACCCATCTCCAGTCCACATGCATGCTTTCCATGTCCCACTCTGATGCCTGCTGAATTACTTCCCATCAAAGTCCTCTTTACTCTCTTAGCCCTGTCAACACTTAAATTTTTTGAGAGTGAGAAAGTTACATTGATCTCCAGCTATGGAAGAGTATATCAAGCTTACTAAGAGGAGTGTTGAACCCTACTTCTCTAGACTCTTTCCCAGACCTTGCCCACTTTGAATATCCTTGGTTTGATGAAGGGGTTCAGTACTTGAAGAATTAGTTAGCAAAGCTGTCTTTAATAAACATGAGGGTCTGTCCACCCCTCACTTTGGCATCTGAGACCTACTGTAGGGATCATCAGTTGAAACTGAGTCATACATCCTTTTACAAGTGATTATGTGCACCAGCCGCTATCCAGTAGAGGGAATCCTACTCTTTCTTCCAACCTATGCACATTGCAGTCCAGTAAGATGCTGTGCTCACCTCACAGAGAGGCCTGTGACCTGGTGTGGAAAAGAGGAAATCAAGAGGCACCCTTGTTTCTTTGCTGCCTTCTACTTGTGTAGTTTTTAATCACTGAAAAATCTGAGTTCACAACACCATTCTAGACCCTGTGAGTGGTAAAATAAGTAAATATAATTTGGATTCACCTTCAATAAGCTTCTAGATTAATGCAAATACCAATGGATACACAAATAATAAAAGGTATAAAGAACAGGGGAAATAAAGAGACAGAGGGAAGAGACAGGAAAGAGGATGTAAACAAGGGAGGCAGGAAAAAAAAGGATGGAGGTGCCAAGTGTGACCTGAATTTAAAACTAAGCAAGGTCTGGTTCTTTGGATCCATAGGGCCTTTTATGAACAGGAGACAGCTGGCTCCCTCCACATTAAGCAAGTTTAATAGGACTTAGGATGGTCCTCATGACATCCTTTTTGCTCTATGCCCAAAAGGAAAAACAAAAAAGGTGAGCATGCATTTTGAAGTTCCTGGCTTCAAAGGCACAATGTATACCCTAATCTTTAATTTTTTCCATCAAATACTCCCACTCACTTCTCTTTTACTCCTATCAATTACAGGAGGAAATGTATTAACAAATCAGCCTTTCCTTCTAAACTGGACTTCAGTTTCCTTGGAGAGGGAATACTACATTGTGGATGAAGATTCCACATTCTTAGAAGTGATTCTCATGTGCAGAGGACACCTTGGAAGAACATCCTTCATCAGTAAGTAACTTGGGCTTGGTTGTTGGCAACAGGTCATGGAAACATGAAATGAAAAAGAATCATGAATGGTTTCAGAGGAGCCCCTAAAAGCTATATGTGAAAAGTGTAATGCAGTTTTCACTGCATGTGAGGCTCATATATGGATCAATGTTTTATCCTCCTCCATGTTTCCTTCTCTCTGGCATTTTACATTCTTTGTTTCATAACTCAAAGAACTCCAGGAAAATTAAGACATTCCTTCGCTATGCCACAATCCATTCAATTTCTTTAAAAATCACTTTAAGAATATAATACATTATTACACTTAGTTCTAGCTGTTTCTTTTAAAGAATTATTTATGAGTACATAATGCATTATTGTCTTCAGTTCTAATTATTTCCTTTGGTTATGTATAATTGTTTTAATCCCACTGTTAGATTATAAATTCCTGGAGGACATGTACAGTATCCAATTTGTCTATATTTTACAAGGGTCTTCTTCAGAAATACATCTTCTTGGGTATGTATGCTTGTATTATGCTTGTGTAATAATGAATCTCACTATTATCACTGATAATATTAATTGTTCTAATAATGCAACACATTGTCATAACATTTTTCACTGCCAGAACTTCCAGAAATCACTTTGTCTTTATTTTCATAATCTGTCAAGGAGACAAGTACAGGTATGTTATCTTCATTTTACAAAGGAGCATTCTGAGTCTCCCAGACAAGCATGACTTCACTCAGCATCCAGCCACCATGTCAGAACTGTTGGAGAGTAGCCAGGAAGGAAATGGGCTAGAGAAAAGTAGGTGACCAAGGAAAGGCACTCTTTTCCCAGTCTCCTCTCCCAGCCTGAGGCTTGTGGAATAGGAATTCTCCCTGAAGAAAAAGGTCAATCAGAGCCCCAGGTTACCTTGTCCACACACGGTGAAATTTGCTGCTAAGAACTTAAGCAGAAAAATGCCTCCTTTCTCTTGTAGGGTTCTGTCTCCACCATTTTGCATCTCAAGTCCTTCTTCTGAGTTTGGGTTAGTAGCTCAGGAAGTATTTTCATGTTCTAGTTCAGAAAAAACAATCTATATTCCCAAAACTATTTGAATGTTCACAGACGAAAGCCATGAAAGACCTTCCAGCCTGTTTAAACCAGTGCCTCTGCCTTGTTGTGTTCCCTTGCTCTGTCTGTGTTCATTGTAACACTTGCCATCCATGGCTTGTGTAATGGATCTGTGTTCACTGTCTGCTTCTCCAATAGACATCCAGTTCCACATAGTCAAGAACTGTGTCTTCAGTTACTCCCAACCCCGCCAACGTGGGGCATATGATAATCACCCAACATTTGCAGTTACGTGAACTACAGGCAGTCCTACTCATACAATACTACCCCAAACCACATCTACACCAAAAAAAGTGCACCTCTGAGACATGTTTACTCTGATGCTTCAGACAGACTTCCTAATGTCTCCATCCCACCCCAGGCCAGGGCTAGTACAAAAGCACAGGATCTACAAGAAAAAGACACAATATTGTAAAATTTGGCTTCCTGATCTGTCACTTACTCTTTTTTTGCAGTGTTTCAAAAACATTCAGTGATCCTGTGTGGATTATCCACCTCAGGATGTGTTGGTAGATGGCATATGGTACTAATTCTAAATCAGTCTCTCATGATCCCTGATATATAGCTAATGCTTCATGAATGGTAACTACCATTGTTGCTCCATGGCATTGTCAAACAGAACTGAAACCACCCATTCTTCTGTTTTTCTCCCCATACATGGAAAACTTTTTGAGAATAATGGTGACTGGACCCAATTCTGTGTGATGTTTTCAGCATCTTCCACACAGCCGATGCTCACCAAATATATTAAGCAAATACCACATGCCTGCTTTACTCCTATAGCAGTGATCTGACCCCTTGCTATCTTTCAGCTTCAGCTGAGGACATCATTCACCCTTCCTTGGTTCGTTTCCAACCTGTGGCCAAAGGAAGTTTGTCCTAAGTGTGGGCACTCTCTCTCTGTTACTGAGCTAGCATGAACGCACTTTTGCAAAGAAAACACTAGATATCTTTCCTTAGAAATTATTTTTATGTTTTATAGCTGTTAGTATGTTTTACAAGATTTCAGACTATTTGAGAAAGAGACAAAGGAATTGCGCAAGAAGCTATCAGTCTCACTTATGTGAAGAATTTCACCATAGCTAGTGTCAGCTCATAATTTTTGAGTTTACACACTTATATGACTACAGATCCTAAACCTTATAATGAAAGCTAAAGTGGGGAGGCATGAGTATTCTTGCTTCACTGGGCCTTCATTTGAGACATTAAAATAAAAACCAAACAATGCTAAATGCTGCTTGAACATTTTGTAGATAGGGGAGGATTATTTAGTATTGACAGGTGTTATGGTTTCGATCTGGGATAGTCCCAAAGTCTCGTGAGTGGAGTGGGGCTTTTGGCAGATGGATTGGATCAATGAGGTGCTGATGAATTTATGGCTAAATGTGAGGTCAGGGGGTGAAGCTTGGTCAGAAGAGGTGGGTCACTGGGGCATGACCTGGACAGGTAGATCTCTCTCCCTAGCTCCTCCCTTTGCTCTATCTGCTTCAGGGTCACCATGAAGTAAGAAGGTCTCCTCTTATCCAGGCCCTTCTGCATTTGAGCCTCCCAAGCATGGGCAGAAACTTGTAAAACCCATGAGCCAAAATAAACCTCTCTTTCTTTAAGTTGTGGGTGTTGGTATTGTGTCTCAGCAACGAGAAAGTAACTAGGACAAGAGGGTAGCCATTATATTTTTCACCATTATAGCTAACATTTGCCATTTTAGCACTATTTTGTTACTGTTTTATTGTTGCTGTCTGGTTTCCTAGTACATCACTAATTCCTCTTCCCTAACAGAGCTCCAGTCTACCCCTGCCTTTCTATTTCCACTGATCTAACTCCTGGGAAATTACTAAGAATTCTCACCCAGCCAAAAATCACTAAACACTTGAGGGAACAAGCTACCATGAGTAAGAATCTGCAGGAGAACACAACCCACAAAGTCTTTCCATCAAAGACTGAAGAAATTGGTACTCAAAAATATTTATTGAGTACCTACTGTGTGCCAGGCTCTGTCTCAGGAATTCATCAGTGAACAAAACAACCAAAAGATTCCTACCTCCAGAAGAGCTCATTTTCTAGTATCTTCTCTTTATAGTATGAGCTCTGGTAGCTGGGATAGTTTTTTACTCCTCTCTGAATCCTGAGCACCTTGTAGAATTTGGTACATTCAAAGACCCTTGGTGTGCATATGCTGAAATAAATAAACTGATGACTTTTTCTGTCATAACTCTTACCTGCTTTCCTCTCAATTCAGTTCACTTACGCTTATTTACACTCTTTTTATCAGAAGATCTTTATCAATGTCTTTTGGGGACATTAAAAGGAGCAATGTCTATATTGTCTATTTTCACAAACAGTAGAAACAACCTTGAAAGAATCTTTCTTCAGTCACTTGGCTTTACATTTATAGTTTCCTGATTTTTATTCAGCCATTGGAACCAAAGATGAAACTTCCAAAAAAGATAAAGATTTTAAAGTAAGAGCCTTTCAATGGATCAAATTCAACCCTGGACAGACCACAGCCATGTGGAAGGTGAGAATTATACCCAACAATAAGTATGAAGCTTCAGAAACTTTCCAGATCATTCTGTCAGAACCTGGCATGGCTGCACTGGAGTTTCTGGAAATGGCAACAGTTGAAATTGTGGACCCTGGAGATGGTATGTGAAATGGATTGATGTGTTCTATTAGTCCACACAAGTTCATGGATTCATTTCCAGCATGCACACCTTCCTCAAGCTCTGTGAGCCATTGGACAAATTCACACCCATTTAAGACTTAATGTGACGTAAATTGCTTCAAGATATTAGGGTTTTATTTGCTTCCAGCAATTATGAAAAGAAATATAGGTGATTAAAAGAGAGAGAGAATCTTTACCAGGATTCCTTTAAGATATACACAAATCCTCACTGTAAGCTTCCGGTGCACTATAGGTATGAAGTAGCCCAGAAGGCTAATCCACAGAGCTTACTCTAGGCCCATCTTCCCACAGTCTTCCACGAGTTCCTGCAGTCCATTCAGCAAATCAGGTGTAGACTTAGATGTCCACTGTCCTGAATGTGGCTGCTGAGTACCTCCCAACCCATATGTTTTAGCATATATTCCATGAAGTTCTGTTTTATACTTTTATGTCATCTTCTTGAATTCATCAATGGATTTTATGAATTCATTCATTCCGCAAATATCCAGAAAAATTAAACAGAAAGAAAACTCTATTAATTATAGTATTTACTGCCTCTTTGGGGGAAAGAAGATTATTCTTTAATGAGGACCTTTAGAATTCATCTTTGAATTTTAATGAGACACAGTGATTGAAAAAATTCATGTAGCACATAGAACTGTAGAACTTACAAACTGGAGGCTTGGCTTTGCACTCCACAGGGATCTACAAAGAATCCCTGGTATTATCATGTCCCAAGCATTAGCATAATAGAATGTCGACATCAGAGGCTTTCCATGGTCAAGTAAGTCTAGGAAATATTTCAACCCCACCACCTTTTGGAAGCATCAGAATTCACATTAGCATATTAAAGATCTTGAAAATCTTTCCTGTAAAGAAATCTGTTTAATTTTGTTTCACATATACCAACCTGGAACAGGCAATTTTTTTAGTCAACTCCAAGGAATATCCTTTAAATATTTTGAATTCTAGTTTTATTGAATGAAACACATTTTGAGAAATACTATTCTATATGGTCTGCACCTTGACCAATGTAAAAGAAGTAGGAAACATGCCTGCCATTGCCCCATGAACAAAGTTTCAGATCAGTTTTATTGGTTAACAGTGCTTAGATACAGGAACCAATTATGAATCCAAATGTAAGATATATGAGAAAATGGTGAAGAAGTCAAGGGATCAGCATGGACAAAGAAACTGAGGGTCATGGAAGCAGCAGTTTTTGAGGTGAGTTTTGCAAAGCAAGTGGTTTTCAACTTGAAAAGCAAGCTTTGATAAGCAGTGTGGCAGGAGCAAGTCTTCATTACTGGTACTTTCCTTCCTGGAACTCAAGTCCACTGTTTTCCTACAGGTTGATGCCAGTGTTGTTGAATCTCATTGAGGCAGAAAAAAACGAAGATAAAATTTTAACATGATATTATAACTACATAATTTAACACTGAATTCTAATTTAGTAAAAGAAGAAAGGGTGGTCTAGAACAATACTTTCCTTTTTTGCTTGATTTTTCCAAAGGAAGACTCTATTTGGATATATGATATTGGGAGGGAAAGAACTGAGGCAATTAAATATAATTTGATTCAGATATTCTCCCCTTAACACTAGGGATAGTAACAATCTACACTGAGTTTTTACTTTTTAAACAGATATATTTTAATTACATAGTGCATGCTTAATGAAAAGCCTTGGAAAACATTAAAACTCATAAAGAAACACTAGTTCATGTCAATCTGTCAACATAACTAATATTCATGCTGACATTTCAGTGAATGTTTCAACATTTCAGTGAATGTTTTAATGATGTGCATTTGTGTACACACGTGCACAGATGTATGCTTGTACGCAACTCAGTAAAATTTTTTCAGCATTTTAAGCCGCCAACACAGTATCTTATACAGGGTCTGCTAAGTAAATGTTGAATAAATTGTGGAATAAACCAGGAAAATATTTTCCTTCATTAATAAATTCTATTACCTGATCATTAAAAAGATTTCTTTATAAAAATGGACAGTAAAAGGCAGATGTATTAGATCTCTATTTAGAAAGCCTTATATTTTGGGAGGAGGGAACTATTACGGCAGGACCTTTCTTTACATTTTTAAGCTTGTTAACCTTTCTGATCTTTCAAATGAGTCTCCTAAACCCAATTCCACTGCTTTTCTATGACCATTTAATAATAAATATTATTTTCCAGTCTCACGCTTTTTAATACAGTCAATCATGTTGAAAAAGGTATGGTTCAAAAACTATGCACATTTTCTTCTCAGGTGTGTTAAAATATTACCAACCAAATATAAATCTCACTGAAATGTCTTCTGCCATATTTTTTTTTGAGTCAACAGTTTATACTCCAGAGGCAGAGTACAAAATAGAAGAGGATGTTGGGGAGCTTTTGATTCCTGTAAGACGGTCTGGAGACCCAAGCCAGGGACTAACGGTCATTTGTTGAGCATTTTCCTCACTGCTGAAGGAGAGATTTATTTGGCTCATGGTTTCAAAGGATTCAGTTCATGATGGGATGTCCTGAATGCAGAAATACCATAGTGAAGGGCATAGCATAGCAAAGTGGCTCGGTTCATGGAAAGCAGAGCCAAGGAGCAGCATCACAGAGGAGGAGGCCTGGGACTCAAGGTTTCCAAGGCCACACCTCCATGACCCTTCCAAACACAGCCAGAAGTGTGCTTCACTAATTTTCTAGGTGGCTCCAAGCCAGTCAGGTTGACAGTACAGCTTAACTCTCATAAGAAGGATGGTAAGAAATATTCTTATTTTCCAAAAATTGCTATCTAGCTGAGCATACGTGTAATCCCAGCACTCTGGGAGGATGAGGCAGGAAGACTACAAATCTAAACCCATCCTGGGTAACCTAGTAATTTAGTAAGACCCTGTATCAAAATTTTTAAAAAGGGTGCTGAAGATGTGGTTCAGTGTGCCATGTGTAGTAACCACAAAAATTTGCTAATATACTGAATTATCTTATAGATTTTCTTTTACCTAAATCTGGTCTGCCTAAAGCATTTAAACATTTAAATTACTGTGACTTCTTTTTGCACTTTTAGCTATAAACCTATGTGTTTTTATTTTTTTTTTATTTATTTTTTTTTTTTATTTTTATTTTTTTTGGTACCAGGAATCGAACTTGGGTCCTTGTGCGTGCGCAACAGGCAAAGAAACCACTGAGCTAAATCCCCGGCCTATGTTTTTATTTTTAATACTATAGAAATGTACAGAAACCCATGAAGTCCATTCCTAAGTATATACTACAGAGAAATAAAAGTACATGCCCGCTCAAAGATGAATTTAGGATATTAATTAAAGTATTATTTAGAATAACTAAGAACTAGAAAGAACTAGTTATCAACTGGTAAATAAGTAAATAAACTGTGGTCTAGCCATACAATGAGGAAGAGCAGTCAGCAATGAAAGGAAACAAAGTTATGATGCATGGATGAATCTCGAAATCATTGTACTCAGTGAAAGAATCCAGATATTAAATGTATGTTTCCACTTACATGAAATTCTCATAGAGGCAAATAAATCTATGGTTGCAAAAAACAGATCTGTGATTTCCAGGGCCTGAAAGAGAAGGAACGAGATGGATTGCAAGGGATAAAAGTTAACATTTGTGGGTGGATCTTCTTCTGTGTTATGATGGTTTGTGGTTACATAACTATACGTATTTGTCAAAACTCATCAAATTGTGATGATTCTTAATGTAAGAAAATTATTATTAAAAAGTTTCAAGTGCACAGAATCTAAACCTAAATCCTCCAATCAATTCTGCACTTCTTATAAAATACCCAAGCAATTATGTGGCTGCTTTAGGAAGTCATACAAGGAATGCTAATCAGAGTATAAGGAACAGATTACATATACACTGCTCACAGCTATGTCACTGTGGGCAGAACAGGGAAAGGAACAATTCTATCTATACCATTATGATGTTATAGATCTTCTAGTCTTAATTTTTCTGCCCCTCAATTTTCCCATCTATAACATGAAGGATTTGGGCTAAGCCAGTCCTAATAGCCTATTATCTTCACTTAGTGTCTAATAAAAACAAACCTTATTCAGTATACTCTAACGACACCAAATCTGGATCATATCAAAATACAACAGTCTATTTTAAAAGCCTTTGTTATATCTTGGAGCTTAAATATACCACCCAGCTGGTGGCAATATTAGTAGAAATGTTAAGCACTGTAAGCCCTAGTTGGAAGAACTACATCACTGGCCACAAGTCTTTGAAGAGTATAATTTGTCCCTGGCTCTTCTCTCTCTGTCTCTGCCTCCTTGTTGCCTTGAGTTAAGAGCCTTTCCTCCACCATGTGCTTTTCATCATGATGTTTCTGCTTCACCACATGCCTAAAAGCAATGGAACCAGCCAACCCTAGAGGAAACTTCTAAAACTGTGAACCAAAATAAAACTTTCCTCCTTTAAATTGTTTATCACTGGTATTTTGTCCCATAAGGAAAAGTTGATTAACACAGCCTGCTAATATTACTGTTTGTGACTGGGAAAGATAATGTTCCTTATAATTCAGACAACTATTTTCTAAAAACAGTTAAAAGAACTGATGGAGAATTCTCATTTAGAATTCCATTCTGTTCACTTGCCCTGTTCCTTCCTACACTCCTGTAGGTTCTGCCACAGGCACGATTCCTTCCACAGTGGTAGCTTTCTCTGACTACATCTCATGACCAGCAGACCACAGCAGCATCCTCCACTTTGAAAAGGATGAAACTGAGAAGACCTGCTGGGCCCTCAGCTTCGATGACTCTTTTTATGAAGAGGAGGAATATTTTCACGTGTCCCTGAGCCTGCCAGTGGGAGGACAGCTGGGAGCCAAATTCCCACCACCAAGGTAATCATCCTGGCTGATCATGAAGATGGTAAGTTCCTTTCCTGCTTCCTCACTCTTGGCGTTAGCTGCCTTCTGTTCACACTTTCCTCCAACTGTTGAAAACCAAGTTCAGCTCGATTACCTTTTAAAGGAATATTTGATGCTCTCCTTTCTCCAAATGAGTAAGTAGCTTTTCAAAAACAAAGATATTACTAAAGCCAAGGTCAAAATGAAAATGCAAAAAGATTAAATGTTTGCTTATGACTTTATTTTTGAAGGAAGGAAAGAAAGAGCAAGCACAAAGAAGTTACATAAGACTTGGAAAGAAGCCAAGAAAAGGACCTGAGTCAAGTTTCCAGATTCCCAACCAGGACCACTGCACAAGGACTTTTATCTTGGCAGCACAGGGATCCTCTCTGAAAACAGTCAGTAGATGCATCTTCAACTGGCACAGATGAGCCAGGCATGGTGGCACATGCCTGCAACTTTTGAAAGAAAATAGTAATAAAGACAAGACCAGGATCAGACTATATTACTAGTCTCCTATTGGACTGATTGCTTCATCTCTCAACCACGCTTTTGTCAGGACTAGACAGGCTATGAGTTGCTGTGCTCAGATCGAGGCAGCATTAGACTGGCTTGCTAGTCTTAACCCAAAATTAATGCAACTACTTTATGGATCCAGCATAGAACTTCCATAAAACTGAGAGCTCTGTCAAGAGATAAGCAGATGGAGTCAAGTTTGAGCAGTATATATGCTCTCAAGGTGCATGGGGTAAATTTATCATGTATTATAATGTTTTGTTTGAAATTGTGTCTTTAAAACAACCATAGAACAAGGGAAAATATGAGTAAGGTCAAAAGTGGTTTTTCATTTGTTTATTTTTGGCCTGAATGGCTTTGCTTGGTGATAATGTACCCTACACCCTATGTACCAGACCTTAGAAATAGGTAGTAGACCATTAAAAAGGAAAAGAAAATGTGAAGTTTAAATTCAAAAGTTTCATGCTTTCTTCTTTGTGTACTTTTCAAATAAGTCTCCATTACAATTAAGATAGCAATTTTTTCTTAAAGGGGAAAGGGAAAGATGAAAGAAGTAAAATTTGAAAAATAAAAGGAAGATGAGACAGAGGAGAGAAAAGTGAGCTAAATAATACAATTAAAAACAAAAAACATTAATAGAATTAGGTAACAGTAACAGGAAAGAAAAAAACCAGAAAAGAACACTAAGAAAATAAGAATAAAACGAAGCGCAAAAGAGAGAAAAAACAAAGGAAAAGAGAAATGAATCCAAAAAAATCCCTCCACGTGTCTGGGTGAGTAGTTTCCTTCCAAGGCCTGCAGTATTAAAATCCACCAGATATGGGGGAAGGATAGTGAGTCACACCTAGTGCTTATTTTGTTTCCATACCCACTATTTTTGTGTGTTTGCTGAGTTCTGTCTTGCCTTTCCTGTTGAGCAGGGTCAGTCAATGGTGTGGTTGCTCCCTTAGGGCTGTATTCACTCCAGTGGCTCTTCATGTTTATTCTCCTCTTTACTCTCTAAATCACTGCTGTCTCCACCTAGCAGTGGGCTTGTGAAGTCCCTCCCTTGCTCCAGAGATGCCTCTCTATCCATACACCACTGGATGTGGCAACCATGCTAGCCAAAGCATATCCCTGATCATATTAGCTGATGAGGAAAGGAAAGAGACCACTAACCTCTGAGCTAAATATAGGCAGCAAGGGGAATGGTGGGGAGGGACAAGCAGTCTGCTACACCTAATGCCAGCTATTTCAGACCCAGGCCCCTCAGAAAACCACATGCAACCTGCATGGGTTCTCATCACGGACAGTAGAATCACCATGTCCTTCACAGCCTGAACTCACAACTGCTTAAACTTCTCAGGAGGGGACTATGACTAGCCTGTGCCCTCTCTGTGACTGTCTTGTGGCCATTTCCCACCAAGTCACTGTGGCAGAGGGACCCCAGAAACCCTGAAGTATAGTTGTTCTGTGGCTTCTGATTCCTTGAAAGCTCAGTATTAAACAATTAACAATTAACTCCTTCCCAAAGTAGCTCATGATTAATCTCGCTCAAATATGGATCTCCTCTCCAATTTTGGCATGCCATGCAGGAGTCTCTTTCAGGGTAAAATCCTATACTGTATTTTCAGTTTACAATAGCCAGGGGCTTTCCTTAGGGCTAGCACTGCCAGTTCATTGTTTCACCCTGGGGATGCCTATGATCTCCAGGCATACTTTATGTTTACGGAGACAAGTTCCCCTCCCATGGAGCAAGGGTTAGTGTTTCAGATGCTTCACTCTTTCCTCTGCATTGTCTTCAGTTTCTCAAGTTTCTCTATCATTTTCAATTTTGCTGTTGGCTCTTTCTTAATTCCTGGAGCTCTTCTTCCTTTTCTCTTTGCTAAGTCATTGTTTTCCAGGTGTCTCAATTCAAGGTATTGTAGAGGTTGTGATATGCTGCCAACTATTACTCTGCCGTCTTCCAAAAGATAACATGTTACTTACTAAGCTACAAACATCTGAAATCAAAGAGGCTGGTGGGTTTTGCCAGTCCTGTCAATTAGGAGTGAAAAATACCCACAGTGCAAAGAAGAATCATGAGCCAAAAATAATTTACCTACCCAAGAAAAGATTCTAGACCAGCTTAATGACGAGCTTAGCCAGGCAGGCGGAGACAGAGGTCCATGGCCACCGGGAGCTTTTTTGTCCATCCCCAAAACCATACAGGATAATTTCTTTTTCTAAAAATGCAGACTATTTTCTCCAAATTTTTAGAAAACATAATAAAGTCAAAATATGTCAGAGTGAGTTAAAAGTATCCATTCAATAAATTCTTTTTTTTTTCCAGTACTGGGGATCAAACTCAGGACCTTGAGCTTGCAAGGCAAATATAGCACCACTGAGCTACATCCCCGGCATTCAACAAATTCTTGAATGCTTACAATACACTGAATATTATGTCACTGAAGGTACAAAGATACAATGTGTGTATGGAATATAGCCCCTGATCTTGGGAAATTCATAAGACTCTAAGACAAACACAAAACAGCATGATACAATGGTAGCACTAACATTTTCACTTTCCAAAGAGGTAGTGAATCAAGAGGGGGTGGGTATTCTAGCCAGGTAAGCTGAGGCAGAAGGATTTTGAGTTTGAGGCCAGTCTGGGAAACTTAGCGAGACTCTGAAAAAAAAAAAAAAAACCTAAGAGGTGTATAAGAAAATCAAGGAAGTCATGTGTGTTATGTGCAAAAGTTAATCATTAAATCCTGTCCATCAAGGACATAATGAACTATAGAGTCTGGCACTGCCCAGAAAAATCTCAATGTGGGAGACAAGCTAATTGGTTGCTTTCATTGATGAGCAAATGAGAAGGGCTGCATCAGGATTAAGCAGTATTTGTGGAGTATATCAAAGAAAAGATGCATCAGAATTGTCAGGGAACACTTGTAAGCCCTGCGCGCAGGAGAAAGCCAGTGTGGGCTGGTCTCACTTCTTGTCCAAAAGCGCCATCTAGAGGGCTGAACAGTCCTCAATAGAGGTGCTGCCAAATGCTAATAGGTTGAGGAAGGGACCACACAGAATAAGGCAGTAATGATGTTTCATCCTCAAAGAAACACAGAAAGCCAGATACCTAACTATACGAGTGACAAATTTTAAAAGAACCCACAGAGTGCACATGAGAAACAGTCAGTTTTTCTTCCATATTTCACAACCTGGGGATACTGATCACCATGAAGTTAGTCATGGAGAAAGGACTTTCCTGGGTAGGCATGGTGGCTCAGGCCTGTAATCTTAGCACTTTAGAGACTGAGACAGGAGGATCACCATGAGTTCAAGGGCAACCTGAACTACACAGCAAGATCCTGTCCAAAAAATAAATAAATAAAATTTTTTAAATTAAAAAAAACTTTCCTGCTCCTCTTTCCTTTCCCATCCCAAGTATGGAGACAACAGGAGGTGGAGTGGCAGTTCTTGGAAGGAAGAGAGATGATGACCTAGCATTCTTTTTTTGGATGCAGGCTTCCTACCTGCGATATTCCTGAGGCAAGCAAATGCCAAGTGTGCCATCACCACAGTTACAGAACTATGCAAACTTTTAGAGAAGCACTGGGGTAAAAAATGACTAATTTCCTGAGAAAATTAAATGTGGCTTCATGGAGTAAGTAACTCTATCAAGAAAAGAGTACACATTGGCCAAGCGGGCACATTCTAGCTCAGAGGGCTTCACCAGCAAACACAGAGGCTCATAAGTGGGTATGGTGCCGCCCTGCTACAATCTCAGATCCTGGAGAGGCTGAGGCAGAAGAAACACAAGTTGAGGGCCAGCCTGAGCAACTTAGCAAAAACCTGTCTCAAAATAAAATTTAAAATTAAAAAGGGCTGGGGTATAATTCGGTTAGAGAGTGTTTTCCTAGCATGCAAAAGCCCCTGGGTTCAATCTCAAGCATTACAAAGAAAAAAAAAGAAAGAGGCCCACAAACACATGCCACATTCGGTGCATGGTGAACTATGGGTTTAACTGGGGAACAGGGCACAGCGTGTGGTACGATTCCAGATGATTTTAGGGCAGCGGAGGGGAGGACCAATTCGGATTATGAAAGGTTTTGTGTGCTATGGTAAAACTTTTAGTAAATTTTCCTCAGTGTTTACAAGATCTGCTAAAATATATACAGACTAAATGGATACTTGCTAAATACCGGTATGATTTCTACACTCAAAACTTTAAATTTTAATTTATATATCCTTGCAATATGTTTGCAAAGATGTCAACTCTGTAGTGCTGATGTTTTCCATTGTACAATCTTAGCTCCTTTCCTGCATCATGAAGCTGCTTCCCAAATGTTTATATTTACCTCCAAATACCACAATCCAAACAAAAACACTTACTTCAAAACCTTTTTAAGGCAATATGTATCTTGTATAACACCAAAACCTTGTACAAGCTTTAAATAGGTAAATTCATAGGCTACCCTTTTTAGAACAGAATGGACCACATCTGTTTTCCTGGCCCAGGCTTCACATTCTCACTGTCAAATGTTCCATCTTCCTAGAAAATGTTCTTTGCCCATAGCCTGGTGCCTGTCTTGGCCTCCTCCACCTTCTTTCCAGCGAGCCACTTCCCTACCTCTGTAGGGAGAATTTCTGGCATTTCAACTACCAGGATCCCACCGCCCCCTGATAGGAGTGTGACCCTGGGATCAGCAAATGCCATGAAAAAAAGCACAGCAGAGAAAAGGCTCCCTAACTTCCCCACCATCTCTTCCAAACAATAGCCAACTTGCCTGCATTAAAGGTGGCACATTTCCCCCTATTTATTCGACAGAGTTATATATATGTATATATATAGGGGTTTTTTGTGTACCGGGGATCAAATTCTGGTCCTTGGGCTTTCGAGGCAGGCAGTGGAACCACTGAGCTAAATCCCAGGCCTATATTTATTTTTTAAAATGAACAGTTCCAACTATTCATTTATTTACTTTATCTCCAAACACTTCCTGGAATCAAAGTCATCGGAGGCTACTCTTTGACATGGCTTTTTGGGTGCTTTGAGGTTTTGTTTTGTTATGGGGTTTTTTTGCCCTGAACTACATATTGAACAGGATCTATGGGATCTGTTTGGTCTGGCAATTATAAAAAATACCCCTTCACAAAGAGCCAGAAACAACATGCCATAGGAAGCTGAAGCATCCTTAGTCTGTCCCTTCATGCCTCCCTAGAGCCTACTCTGCACTTTGGAGATTCGGAGTATCACAGTGATGAAAGTGCTGGCTACCTCGAGGTACATGTCTGGAGAAGAAGCGCTGATCTTTCCCATCTGTCACTGTGCATTCCAGAAAGGCAAAGCAGACCCCAGCAGAAGGTGAGGGGGCACTGAAAGGACCTATCATTAAGCCAACACACATACATGGGGGTCTAGTCTGTCCAATGGAAGCATGCCGAATCTTTGCAGGCTCTGATGTAAAGTTTCTTCTACCTGAGCACATAGATGCTTTGTATATTTTACTAGCTAGCTTTTCCATTGCTGAGATAAAAATACCTGACATCTCCAATTTAAAGGAGGAGAGGATTAATTTGGCTCACATTTCAAAGGTCTCAGTCCATGATCCACAGGCTCCAAGGCGGGAACATCATAGCAGAAAGGTGTGGTGGGGCAAAGCTCTTAGTTCACAGCAGCTGGGATATAAAGCAGAGAGGAAAAGCCAGAGAGGAAAGGAGTCAGGGACCAGATATAGTCCCCAAAGTTACACCTCCATGACCCACTCAAACACTCAGAAGCATGCTTTACTAATCACCTAGGCATCTCTCAAGCTGATCAAGTTGGCAATCAAGATTAACCATGGCATATATCTAACAAATTTTCCTATGTACAAATAAATAGAAGATTCAAGCAGCAGTCTTTATAATTTATTCATGACCCACTTGATAGTCATGGACTCAGATTAATTTTCCAGTGTTCAGAATATTTGTAGATACTTTAGTTGCTCATAAATAATATGTCAGATGAATGAATCCCACAGTGGCTGGGCAAATCTCAACTCCTAGAGAAATCCAGTCACCTCTTAGATTTTTGAAGAGAAGGAAGGTTTTACTTTTGACTCTTGGGCATTCTCTTTGTCTTTCAGCTTCACATCCTCCTGTCCCATTCATCTTTGTGTTTCCTGATAGAGTGATGAAGGTCTAGCTGACAGTGAGGCTAGTGGTTCTAAACACTACTTTTGAATACCATACCTCTTCCAGCTCACCAGAGGTTTTACAAGAAAAATTTAAAAAGTAGGACCCAACAGGAAGAGAGGGGCATCTCCGTCTGCATTAAGAGTTACATTTTCTCATTTCTGCTTGTTCCTTTTGGTCTCCTGAATTATGGACAACCAACATAGCTGAGATCCAAATCTCAGAGGAATATTTTAAGATTAAAGCAAAATTCCTATAAATAAAACCAAACAATCTAAAAATCTTCACTGATATGGCTTAAGAAGAGTTAGGTGCTCATTTACATATGAAAATGTGACTAGTTTCATCATATACTTAGAAACAGATAAAGAAAATAAAAGCAGACATTGTTCTCACACATGGAAGAACTGACATGCTGTAATGTTGCAGTGAACATATCACAGGATATTGTACATGAAAACAGTAATAATTCTTACGAGATTTTTTTCCTTCTTTTTTTTAGTTTTCGAAGAGGGTCATTTCTTGTCCTATTATGTATCCATGGAAGCAAAAGTAAATAGATCAGTTGGTTCACTTGACTTTTTTCGTTGTAGTTGAGAAGATAATTTTAAATTCATTTAGATAATCCTTTTGCATGAAAACAATGGCAACATGCTCACTCTCAGGTAGGGATAGACAAATAGAGTGTTGTCCACACTCAGGGCATGGTTCACAAGTTTAATCGGGAAAGATGCAGAGATAACAAGTTAGACTTGATAATCTATAGAACCTACTATATATCTGACATCTGCTTAGGCTGGTTAATACACAATAATGATTTTGCATATATATTTATAAGTTATTATAATTTTCTACGTTAAAAATCATAGCTTCTAGGTACTCAGTGCCTATTATTTGCCACAAACTATGCTGGCAACATTACCAGATTGTCTATAATCTTCATAATGACCTGGTAACATAGCTAGAATTAGCCCCACTTTACAGTTGAAGAAACAGAGACTCAATAAAGTCAAGCCATTTGTACAAATTAGCAATGGACCAAGATTTGTGCCAAACTGCATTAGATACAAAACCGTCTTTCCATTATTCTCCTACTTTGGCAAGGTTTACCATAACTCCATTTTGTTTTCAATTAACGCCATTGTGTGATGAGCTTTAAAAAATTTTTTAAACAACCTCAAACTTAAAGAAAGCAACAAGTACAGTGAAACACTTTTTCCTCTGTCATCAAGAGTAAATTACTCTAAAAACTTAGCTTAGTTCCTACAAAAAATTCAGAATACACAATACAAGCATAAGATTGGTGAATTAACTTCATGCATTTCAACAATATAATCCTAGGCTTTTGTTTAAATTCCAACAATTATATTCAAATCACTCTTCATAACAAAAGAATCCAGGCCAAAATCATGTAAGGTATTTAGTTGTTGTGTCTGCTTTCATTCCTAACAATCTAGACCAGTTCCTTTTCCTTTCTTGGCTTTTCACCTGGATGTTTTCAGAGATGGTAATCCATGTTTTGTAGTATATAGAATGTTCCCCCAATTTGAGTTTGTCTGTTGGTTTCCTCATTATTAGATTCAGCTTATATATTTCAACATGGCTATCAGAGATAACTCTGCTCCCATCACATGCTATCAAATGGCAATTTCAATTTATCCCATCACTGTACTGGTGGTACCTTTGACCACTTGGATAAGGTGATATCTGCCCATTATAAAATTACTCCTTTTTTCTTTGCAATTCCCAAGAATTTTATGGAGAAGTATTCTGAGACAATGTAAATATCTGTTCCTCGAATTATTTCTACATTTATAAGCCCTGGCAGTTTCTATTTTCTTCCATGGGTTTATCATTGTTGCTATCATCACATTTGATGGCTTTTCAAATAAGTAGCAAAGAAGCTACATGATCAGATGTGCCAACTTACAAAAATGACTAAAAACCCAGAGAAAGGTAGAAACTTTGTGGCTGGATAAAACTGAGCAGAATATTGTAATATTAAACCAGAAACCCGGAGCATACAAATGAGTGACACCTACCTGAAGTCAAGTTTGTGAGTCACTCTCAAGATTAACAATAAAAAGAAACCCTTCCATTTCAAATTGAAGGGCCCTTGAGTGTGTCAATCAATGAGATCTGTGTGGACATTGAGGGAAAAGAGATGGGCCTGGTCTGATAAAGATGGCGATGGACATGGGATGAGTGACCACATAGCTTTTGATAGAATAAGGAAATCCCCCCTTTCTGGGGATTGAGACCACAAAATACATGATTCTGATAGTTTTGAGTGCAAAAGGGAATGTTTTTCAAAGTTGATGAGATCTCCCATTTTTCTCTAGAAAAAATAAACTTACAGCAATGAATCCTAGTCTGATTAGTGTATTTTCACTCCCTGCTAGCTGGAAAAGATGACACCAGCATCAGCCAAAATCTGGACTTTGCCCCAGGAGTGAACATGCAGATGTTCCAAGTAACAATCCTTGAAGACCAGGGACAGCCCATCCTGGAGGGTCTGGAGAAGTTTGAATTACTTCTCCAGGTGCCTAGAGCTGCAGTGCTTGGAGAACCAAGTAAAATGATTATCAATGAGAACACCACTGACTGAAAGGAGAGTTCTTACAGTTCCTTGGAGTGAAAAACTTAAGAGAGAAACAAGCAGCCAAAATATGACTCCTAACTCTACCATTTCTAGAGCTCAGCAACTCTGGGAAGGTAATGAAAGAGTGCTGTCATTGGTGTAATATTCTGCTGATATGTGCAAATATCATTTATGTGACAAGGATATAGAAATATACATGTATACAGTGAAAAGATTGAGCCTATAAAAATTGAAACCATGCTTTTGTTATCCTTTTTCTATTTTCTTTTACTTTGTTACCTTTTGTTCCCCCATTAACTTTATTGGTACATTTTAGGTATAAAATACAGTTACATTAATCATTGGGATCTTGTACCATTACATGAGTCTCTTGGTTCTTATTTTTTTCCCCTTCCCTTGACATCCCTTCAGCCCCTCTACCCTGCGCTATTTGCAAAGACCTTGTTTCCATTTTTTCCTCTTCTCATATTTTTTCCTTTCCCTTTTTTCCCTTCCCCTACCCCTCCCAATTCCCCTGCTCT